GTCTGCTCGCTTTTTCCTGTCAGTGTGTCATATCTGCTCAATTTACATCAAACGAGCTGACCGAGGATGCATATTTTAAGAATAAATAGATCTTATAGAGGAACATGATTTGAGATCTGTTATTCATGTGAGGGCCCTGGTGCAGTGAAAGGTAATGTGAGATTTGGCTTCTGTTCAAAGTTATATTTGAATAAAGATTTTTTTGTCCACTTTCTTTTTAAACCAAAAAGTTGAATTTCTAATTGATAAAACATGCTGTTGCTTTAGTAGTGGGCATATATTTGTAATGTCCAACATTTACCACACCCGTGACAAAAATCTTGCAAAAAGCACACATAAATGTCCAGAATTAAACTCAAAATCCACTGGGTAAGCAGTGTTCACTCTTCGTGCCTGACTGCTGATGTTCGTGCAATGTCACTGAGTGACTATACAAGCAAAACACAGCCTGATTACATGACACTCAAATATATATATATACAGTGTGATATACCAAGGTTAGTGCTGTGAAAAATGAATTAAAAAAATCTTGTGATGTGTGTCAACTCTTATACGTGTGTACTACAGGTGCACAGCACACACTCTTTACCGCTGTGTGTGTCTCGTCTGCAGTTTACTGAACATCTAACGGCTAGCTGCTCGCTCTGGAGACAGAAATTGTATTTGACTGCTTTTCAAAAGAGGCTTTTATATGAGCTTTGTGTCTGGTGTGTTCAAATTTGAAAAAGAACAGGAGGCTGACCAGCTGACAGGCAATTAGTGCTGACTTGGCACTGGTTAACCTTAAAGCTGTTTGTTGAGTCATTGAGGGGAAAAAAGTCTATAATCATCATTCAGGATGTTGTAATTGAAAATGATGCATACACCTCGTCTGCTTTCTATTTTTGAGACCTTGGAGCAATAGATTCTCAGCATACTGTACAAGTGGCCATAGTTAAAAAATAGCACACATCAAAAACTTTCTGTTCAGGTTTGCCCTGTGTCTGTTCAGCAGCTTTTGCCCTGCACAGCTTTAATAATATGACATGAACTGTGGATGGAGTGAAAGTTCACAAATGAAATAGACATGGAGGTAGAGGATGTGTAGGTTTCCACTACCATAGGCCAGTCTAATCTGAAATGTATCAGAAGCTAGAGCAATTCTGTTTTATGAATACGAATAAATGGGTGGGCTACTGGTGTAAACGGTACTACTTTAACCTCTTCACATCCAGCAGGTCACAGGATCTAGGATCAGGAGGAGGATTGGAGTTAGGCTGGGGCTTTGTTTTAGCTCCACACCCTAAATGAGTTGTTGTGACCTGGATGGAGATTAATCTTTGCCAAAAATGTGAAAGTAAAATGTGGAAAAGTCATGTTTCAAACATGATGGGACTCACAATCACCTGGGTGTTAAACTTTGAACCACTGTAACTCCTTCAACATCCTTAGGTTAAGAGTGCAGGTCACAAAAATGAGGCAAGTCATGGTTAGGCAGGCCGTTTTACCAAGGCCAGTGCATTAAGGCACTGAAGCTAAAAAACACCTTGTGAGTAATGATGCACATGACATTTGACAAAATGCCCTGATGCAACACCTCAGAATGAGATCACACTGGACAGCCCAGTCTCATTAATCACATAACCCAGTGAGCCACGCACCAAAGGCCACATGCCAAATGACATGTGGCCTAACTGAAACATGCCAGCAGATTCAACAAAACCACCTTACTCTTCACCCCAGGACTGAAAATGGCCAGTGGTGCAAAAATAATGAGCCGAAACTAAATAAGCAAAGCTGCATGACTGGATGCAGAGCTTCATTTCCTAAATAATCAACAATGAACAGTGAGCACTGAAAAAAACAAAACAAAAACTTCATACTTTTAAAACAACACATGAACTGTCTCTATGGATCAACAGAAGCATCTGTCACTGAGAGGCAATGAACACTGCAATACAGTGATCTCAGAATACCAAGAAGAAAGTCAAAAGAGTAAGTGTTTCACATATAATAATCATGTAATCCTTATTCAGCATACGCATGTGGGGTAGATTAGGGTAGCAGGATAAAGTCCCATAATTTACCAAGTCCAATTATAAAGGTGAATACATACAAGAGCAAGAGGAGATCTAGTAGTAGATGAGATTTCATTTTAAAGAAGTTTAATTCAATTTGTTTAATCGTTTGTGTAACTTTATGTGGGTCTGTTTTATTGTTGAGTTTTAAAGATAAACCCATTAGTGGGAAAAACTCCAACCATCTTGAAATTGGTAGATAATGTTAAACAGTTTATGATTTACTGCTGCCAAATAATTCAGTTCGATAAACACCAGCCAGACATCTACACCAATGACAAATTACAGAGAAATAAGTGAAGTTACCCAAGCCTGTCCTCTTCCTTCTTCCTCAGATCAAAATCTCTCTGGACAACTTCCCACACATGCTGAGCCTCCTCATCTGTGAGCTTGGAAAGATCAAGCTTCTTGCCTGCAGTGCTGCCAGGCATGATTGTGAACCTGATGCCTGCAAACTAGCAATCTCCCTGGTTTTGGGCTGTAACAGACAGAAGTAGTTTAAGTCATTAGTCAGCATTAATAGCACCCGGTGGCATATAACAATATGGGAACATTTCTGCATGCATTGTAACATTTAAGATAAACTCTGAATGATGAGGTTTGTAGCATGACATGTGAGTGATCAAATTCTATCACATTCTTTGGGGATGATCACGTCATGTTTATTAGTACAAGCTAAGTGTTTAAAAAAGATTTTTTAAACAAAGTTTGCATGCAAATGTCCCTGCAAGTCCAACGTACGTGTGAGTGGAGAGTGGAAGTGGAATTTAATAAACAGCTTTCTGAACTCACTCACTGAACTCAGTTTGCAAAATCTAACCAAACAGCACAGGTCATGGATATGCATTACATATCCTGTCTCACTTTACTGTATGAGAAAAAGATTATTTTAATATTAAAGGTCAGGTTCAGATTTATTAAGTCATCCATGCATGTGCTGAAAATGTTCTCTTCCTATAGTGGCTACAAAAAGACAAATGGGACCGAATCTAGAGCGTTGCACCAGTTCCAGATGCCAGCTTTGGCTTTAAAAAGCATTGTTGCATATGATGAGGTTCAGGCTGTATTTATGCCTTGTGTCAGCAATCTACACTGAACACTTTAGGCCCCTTAATACCAATCACTTGAGGTTTGAATGCCAGAGCCTGTCAGATAATTGCTGCTAACCATGTGCATCTCTTTGTGGTAACAGTTCACTGTCTTCCGATGGCTTCTACCAGCATGAGAATGTGTCATCTCAAACTAATTTCATGAACATGACCTTAATCTTAGTAGACTGCAGTGCCTCCCCAGTGATTAGATCTAAATCCAGTAGAATCAGGAATATGCTGGAACCAATCTTTGACAAATGATATCATGCAATCAACAAGAACTTCAGATTTCTTTTTGTTGAATCCATGCCACTTAGAGCTGAGGCTATTTGAGAGTAAAGAAAGGCCCAACCTAGCATTTGCAAGGTGTTCTACTTGACCAACTATTACAGTTTTTAAGATCCACCAGGTCAATGTCAACTCAGCTAGTGTGTGTGTCCTGTTTGTTTTAGCCACAATGCTAAATGGGCAGATTTACAGAAAGAAATGAATTCTCATACATTTTGGAATTGGAGTGTTTCCTGTTTAAAGAGCTGTTTTTTCTACTTGGGTAGTTTATACAGGTGACGCTCTATACAAACTGAGTACATGTTAACTAAAACCTAAGCCAACTTCTAACCTCGCCTATAATCCTCAATGGGTTGCAAAGACCCAGTAGACCACAGACGTTAAAGTTTGGTTTGCAAACTCCACTGGAAATGTAAGCAAATAAACCTGAATGTGGGCTACTAGAAACTAAAAACAAAAACACTTTTTGTCGCAGGGGGCATATATTCTGTAAAGTTGGGCATTTTAATGATTTTTTCTGTGTTGACTGACTTACTTTTGGAGTTAGCCTCAAATGTCCAGTAGAAGAACTGCAGTCTTTGTCAATTTCAAACCTCCAGGGCTTGTTGCTTGGCTTTGACTGATACTGATACTAATACTGCACTCCACCCTATAGTGATTACTTTTGGCAAATGTCAAAATGCTGTAAGGTTTCAAGGCCTCAAAATGGGACTTTACTGTACAGTATAGTACATTTACTTCCTGTCTTCATAGAAAAGCTTTATTGTGCTTGTGAGTCACTCAAGCTGTCACTCAAGAGCTGAAAACAATGTCCTATGGGGAAATCTACTGTCAAGTTCATTTGCCACTGTTTTGCCCAAACATATCAGACCACTATATTAAGCGCTTAAACCTTCTCAACCACATGGATCTGTCCTGTGATCCGGAAAGGTTTGGCACAGCTCAACAATCACATCACTGCAGGATTTTAATCAAGTTTCTGTTATAATGGAGCCTCGACAAAATATTTCACATGGTTCGGTTTCAGAATGCATTACTTTCAGAGGATGAGGTAAGGCCACTCAAGCTGACAGAATGATACACATAAATAAGTGAAGGAATGTTCCGGATGGTCACATAATTGTCTTGTTTTCCAGAGGCCATGCAAGAACAACTCTTCCATCACGTGACTGGCCAACCAAATCTAATTTCTCCTTGTGCAAGTGGGCAGTAATGTTAAAAACAAGCGCGCCAGTTGAGAGAAAAACAAGTTTCATTGAAATGGTAGAATATGAACACATCATTGCTCACAGTTTTCCCACAGTTAAACTCTTACATGTTAACAGGCGAGCTGTCTATGCTGCCTCTACGTGTATTTGTTAAGTGGGTGTGAGCTACTGATTAAGTGCTGTATTAAGTAAACATTGTGAAGAAGTGAATAAGAAGATTAAAAATTCCCAAAAACAATCAGTATGGCACTTTACTTTTAATAATCCTATTTTCTGTGGTCTGTAAACTGAACATATTCTGAAATGAAATTCAGGGAATTTATTCTTCCTGCAATGTATTCAACAGGTGCAGGGGATTGGCAGCAATCCTTATGTTTGCAAAGGGAAGGTTTTACAGCAGATTTGGAGACATTAATCCTGGGATAGTTTTACTCTAAGAAACTGTAGTGATAACAAACAAGTTCTTTATTTCTCATAAAGTCAGTTTACACGCTTTGCAACCTATGCTACCTCTGAGGAGATTAAAGGAAATTGACCTTAAAAAACATAAAAGATGTGTCTTTCATTAAAAGTTAAAACCTTTCAAGACATACATTTGCCCCAATGACACAAGTTAAAAGCCTGACAATTAAAGTAACACGATTCTTACAAATCAGGAGATATGAACACATTAATAAGACACTGACTTACCTTTGTGGTGGTTTAGTTGCCTGCAGGCAGTGTTTCCTCTAAAGGCAGACAAAGCTGACTGCAGGGCAAAAACTAAGTAGCAGAAAGCACTGCTAATCACATGTCTTGTTAACCAAGAGGAAGAAAAGCCGGGGAGACAGCCTCCTCTCCGCCTTCTTTGACTTTACTTCAAAAGGTCTGGCTTTAAGCTTGCCCCCCCTCCCAGGCCTCATCCATAGCATTGTTCAAATATACTGGAACTGCTATTTTGTCAAGAAAGTAGCTGAATAATGGTAATCAATCAATTTGCAAGCAATTCTTTGGGAGCATTAGATCACTAGGACGGTCAGAACATGCTGTGATCAGGAGGTTATATTAAAGCCAGTCACATGCAGTGGATCCTGAGTTAGATGAGAAAGTGTGATGCATGACTGCAGAGCTATTAACCTTACTTAATTAATACCTGATATCCTCCATTATAGTTTTGAAAAGAAAAACACTCGATCTTCTAACATGGGAAAAAATTAACCAACACCCCCCCCAACTGCCGTTAATAATTGATGCATTGCCATGTTTAAAGAGTACTTAGAAACACAACATAGTTGTAGGCCTGTTATTAACACAGCAGGTGGATCAGTTTTCTTTGTCAGAAAGCAATCAGGTTTGTGTACAAAGCCAAACATTTTATGCTTTGAGTTGCAACTTGGAAGTGCTTATTTTGTGTTGAAATCATTACAGTCACTAATGTGAAAGTAGGATTTTGGAGAAACTTCTCATAGATGATGATGAGAATGTACAAAGACAAGATGATTAGGTAAAGCGTCCAACTGAATGTGAAAATCAACAGGGACTGAACTGAGGGGACCTCTCTTTGGTAATACATTTATGTCATTCTCCTCTTATAAACATAGGATTTTCTCCCATTCCTTCCCTCAGCTCATGTGTGTATTACCAAAAGAGCTGATTTGAGCCTTGTGACAGGTTCAGCAATCCAATTTTCTTGTTTGTGCAAACACTAGTGCAATAAATAAACATGAACACAGTATTTTTTTGCACTTCACATTTTTGTGACTTTATTACATTCCAGTGGGTGGATCCATATATACATACAGTAGTTTCTTTCAAGACATGGAAAGGCTGAGCTAGCCCAATATGCACATTACATACTAGAATAACGTTTGGCTTATAAAAAGCTGTCTGTTCAAAGATGAGCCAAATTTGAAACAATTTGAAAATACACCAGCAAATATTGAACTGAAGAGAACTTTAAATGCCTATGATGGGCTCACTCTTACAGGCTTAGGGGCCGGTCTTTTGATCGGGACAAATGTGTATTCCCTACACAGTTGGCAAGTGGTTTCTGCCAGTCATATATATAGGCATAGGAATATGGTGCAGCACAGAAAACCTTGTGACTGCTTTGGTCACTATCATTTTTGATGCGGTTACATGTAGTTTGCGACTTGTCTGCCAACACTTGATAAGTGTGGAAATGAAACTGAAAAATGTTACACAAATGGAGACATTTGCCTTAAAAGTAAAAGTTTCACCTTTTCAAGTGTTTTAGTTGCAGGGGCAAAGACCAGCCCAATAGAAAAGGTTGTTGGGACACAATTAAGGAATGTTTTGGAGATGATCAATATTCCTGACAAATTTCATTCTTATTTCAGAAAGTTCCAATGAAACTGCTCTACTAAAAGTCTCAAATTACATTTTGATGGCTGCAGATAAGCAGATAAGCTCAGGTGGCAGAGCAGGTCAGCCACTAATCAGAAGTTCGGTGGTTCGATCCCAGGCTGCCTCCTGGCTGCATGCCAAATATCCTTGGGCAAGATACTAACCCCATGTTTGCCTACTGGTGGTCAGAGGGCCCGGTGGCGCCAGTGTCCGGCAGCCTCGCCTCTGTCAGTGCGCCCCAGGGTGGCTGTGGCTACAATGTAGCTGCCATCACCAGTGTGTGAATGTGTGTGTGAATGGGTGGATGACTGAATGTAGTGTAAAGCGCTTTGGGGTCCTTAAGGACTAGAAAAGCGCTATACAAATGCAGGCCATTTACCATTTATAAGGTAAGAGATCAGTCCTTGTTTTGCTTGACCTCAGCTCAGCCTTTGATATCATTGACCATCAGATCCCGATCCATAAATCGGGAATTTCCAGCCCTGTTTTGGATTGGTTCATTTGGTTTTCGTGGGAAGCTTTTGGTGAGTGTTGCTTTCCTGCATTCCTCGAGGATCTGAAAGTCCTTTGTTATTTATATTGTATATTCTCCCATTAGGTCATAGTATAGTAAAGTCAATTCTTAACATTTGTTTGCAGATGACATTCAACTATATCTCTCTTTTAAACCTCACAAATTTACAATTTATCCATATAGCTTTTAACAGAGTGACAAATTATCACTCCTGAAACATTATTGGCAAAATCAAATAGTGATTGGGGTCCTTTTCATCCTGTCTGAAAGAAAACATGTGGAACCTTGGGTTAACTTTTTATTAGCCTTTGACATTTGAAGCTTATATTAAGTCTCTAAAATGCTGTTGTTTTTGGTTTTGTTGTTGTTGTTGTTGTTTTTCATTAAAGAAACACTGTTGAGCTAAGAACTGTCTCAAAAAATGAACTGGAGATACCTGTATACTCTTTCATCTCCTCTTCCTTGGATTTTTGGATTATGCACTTCTTGTGTGAATAAAGCATCTATTAATCATCTCCAGTCTGTTTAAAATGCCACTGTAAGGCTTTTAACTCACTCTCATAAGTCTTCGTGTATCACCCTGCTTTTAAAGCTTTTGCACTGGCTTCCTGTCAGGTTTAAATTTCAGTTTTTCCTTTTATTGACTTATGAGGTTAGGCCCCCGCCTATAATATGGAACTGCTCCGAGTTGGTTTCGCTGCACCCTTGACTCTGTGACATGTTTTAAAAGCAGCTGCAATCCCAACTGTTCATATAGGCATTAGGGTGGTGTTTGTGTTTTGTGTTGTGTTGCTTGATTTATGTGTATTCACTTTGCCTTTGGTACCGGCTAGTTGTATCAATTTACCTCAGTAAAGCACTTTGTGACTGTTGCTTGTGTTAAAAAGTCCTATAAAAAGAAAGTTTATTTATTAACTTATAGTGAGTTGTTATACTAATACTTTGTTACATATGATGACAAATGAATGCAGAAATGTCTAGCAACAATGCTGTAAGTTTAAAATGAATCATCCTCTAACTTTTCGTACAATCGAATAAACACAACTTACGCTGTTTATAAATTCCTCTCATCTTCTGTATTTAAATGGACACGATGGCGATCTTTCAAAATCTGCTCAGACGGATGGAATTAAGGTCACATATTTTAAAATGAACTAAGCAGCCTTAATAAACACCAGTAAATACCATTAATTTTTCACTTGGTGTTTGATGTTTATCTCAGCTGTATTTGCCTATTAAAATTTAATTGTCTTATCTGACAAATGCTACCATTTGTTGCAAGATAAATAAAATTCAATAAGCTGGTTTTAATGAGTTTAATTCTACCAATTTTGTAATCAGTTAGCAATAATTCGCAAGTATGTGTGTCTGTGTTTGTATAGAAGATGGATGTAGTTTGAAGTCAATGCAAAAGTGCCTTAAACATGCATTGTTTATAATCACCAGCAGGGGGAGACACATGGAGAGCAGAAAATAGGGACGTAGCTTCAGGGTCTAAACAGTGAATTCAATGTGGAAGCACACTGAACTTGCATTCTTTTCAAGGAACAACTTCTCTGACCATCTGCCATGATCTAATTTTGTGTCACACAATAAAAACAAACAAACAAAAAAAAGAGCAACAACAAAAATCAGATGTGTAAATTTTATTTATTCTATATGGAACTCTGAGATAATGCCCTATAGTGTCATCATATGTGTTGTGTGGCAGGCAGGATTGGACCTAAATGCAGGACTCTGCTGGAGAAACTTGTCATAATTATTAACTTTATAAAATAAACCAAAAACCTTGAACATGAACTAGAAACTAAACTGGACTTGCTAGAATTTCACCAGGAACACACAGCGCAGAGAGGGTATACATGGAGGTTAACGACACAACACAGAGCAAAGAAAACAATACAAGAGGCAGTAACGAGGGAATGGGAAACAGGAGGGAACACAGCTGTGCCCAATCAAACATAATGAGAGCAAGGGGAAGCAAAACTGAAAACATAGACACAGGACACAGACTGTAGAACAGGAAAAATGAGACAATTCACAAAGACGCAAACTAGACAGTAAGATATAGAAACATGACAGACCTGGAAAAAAAGGAAACATGAAGCACAGAGACAAAAAACAACCAGACGTGAAACACGGAGAAGGTACAGAAAACTGAAACTGGAAGCAGGAAAAAAAATTAACATGAACAAAAAACCATCAAGAGAACTCAAAACCACAAATAACAATAATCAAGGGTTATAAATTAAACACAAACACAGAACACTCGGTCGCAGACTCAGTGCCGTGACACATAGCTGTTTTTCCTAATGACTTTATGAGCTTAATAGCTTATTAGGTTAAAATTAAACTGAGTATGTTATGATGTGCCTTTTAAAAATTAAGGCCTTTACCGGAGTAAAAAAATAAATAAAAATAATTGTTTTATTGACAAATTCCTACAACAGTCAATTAAACAGGTTATGCTTTGCTGGCAACTTATGTCTTAACTTCAATGGGACTTCACTAACTTGTGTTCATGTCATGCTGGATATGTCTATCTTTTTATACAGTCTATTTTGACAGTGGGCTCAGTTTAGTTTGTGCTGCTTGTGCTTGCACAGGTTTCAGACTAATGTCTTTCTATAGCTTAGTATGATTGTCAATATATTTTGAATCAAATCATTGAATAACAAAGTTGTCATAAATCACCCCAACCCTAAACTTTGTTTACAATGAGACACTGAGCTTTTAAAACTTTTCCGTTGCCCCTGTGCTTCAAGTTTTTTTGACTGCTGGTTTTTTTGCTGGTGGCTGTGGTTGTTTCTTGCGCTTGTCCTGCCTTCCCACCTCCTACATTTCACTTGCTATGCCTGTCTTCCATCTAGTAGTTAGTGGTTGATTTTTGAAGGACCATGATGAAACACAACTGTCAATCAGCATGGT